GTGTCCTTAGTGTCTGCGGGCGATTGCTTGAAGCTGATGTCCGAGTGCTGGGCTCCGAACCCGCCTCCCGCCTCACAATTCTCCGAGTGAAGAAGACGCTCTCCAAGATGGTGGAGTCGCAGGACATCAAGATCTGACCGCCCCTCATCCTCGTCCTCTTTAATATCAGCGCCTCCCTCTTCATCGGGAAGAGGAGAGAGATAATAATAATGGACCCATTTCAGGGCTGAACGCTGTGTCTCCTCCTCCATCGTGCAACGTGTGTCATTTCGGATACTTTTCTTATCACACTGCCATGTGGTACCTGCCATGTGGTACCTGCCATGTGGTACACTGCCATGTGGTACACTCCCATGTGGTACACTGCCATGTGGTACCTGCCATGTGGTACCTGCCATGTGGTACCTGCCATGTGGTACCTGCCATGTGGTACCTGCCATGTGGTACACTGTGGCCGTTTCTCAATGTCGAGGAGGCTTGCTTGGTAGCACATGTATGCTGGGCATTTAAACAATGACACTCAATGACATAGTATGCTTGAAATAGTGGCTCTGGAGCAGCTTTACTCGACATTGAGAAACGGCCACTGAACACTTTGTTTATTGGGAACTTTGACCAGAAAGCGTCAAGTCATGGCTGCTGTGAACTGATTGAAAAGGACGGTCTCCGCTGAACAGAAATGTCTGAAATAATTTGTGAAAAATAACATGAATGTGAGAAAGCATTTCCAAATGCATTATAACACACTTTTCAGATATTTCTCAGATCTGTTCGATCTTTTCGCTTCACGAGCCAACAGCAATTTTGTGGCTTCCAGGATTTGAGACGATGCTACTGGGTCGAAATTCACAAAATACAAAGTGTGTACAGTTTACGACATGGCATTGAATTAAGGTATCAGAATAGAGACACAGCGCAAAAACAAACATGGAGTCCTTCCTCACGCTCCTCCTCCTTCAGAAACAAACATGGAGTCCCTCCTCTTTCTGCCGGTTTGACGCTTTCCGTGAAAGCAAAACGAGACGATAAAGATAATTTCGACGGAGGGGGAAACGATGCTCGTAAATGAACAGATTTTTTTTTTAAGGACCTGTGTTGCCTTCCTCCTCCTCTGCCTGTTTAAACAGAAATGCCAATTTTTTTTTTTTATTATTTTCTCTTCAGGACTGAGTTCTCCTGCCATATTGAAATATATCTCCACTCTTAAGAAAGTTGAGTTAATTATAAGTAAGGAAAAAAAAGGTACTATTATAATATGTGAATTAAAATGTGTAAATAAGTGTTATCATTAGATGCCATGCCTACTCGTGAGAGGGTTTAAAGTTAAAATATCAGAACACTATGCTGCAGTGGTGTTGACGTCCAGCCGACTCCAGGAGACGTCTACCGTCCTGTTTGTCCACTTCCTGTCTAACTGTCCACTTCCTGTTCGTCGGTCTGTCTGTCGAGATACCTGATTGGTTGAGTTTAACCTGAGTGGGTGGAGCCAAAAGGACCCGTGTACCAGGGTTCATTGAGATTATGTTAGATTCAAGACTTGTTTAAATGCCTATTTAATTTGAAGTTATAATGTAAATATTTTCCACACTAGACAAGTTAAATAACAGCTAGACCTATATTACATGCATCCAGTTGAGCTGTGTACTGCCCCTGGCCAAATAGGGCGACATGTGTCATTTTTATCAACATAATGGTGCATTTCATAGGTGAACGTATAGGGCCAAATTGTAATGGGTTCTTCCTCGGACGATGCTGCACCTTTCCAGCAAGTTTTATGAAAATCTGGTTAGACGTTTTTCCGTTATCCTGCTGTCCAACCACCAAATTAAACAGATTTGCATAGATTCATGTTGGCTCCTCCCACTCTGATTTAAAAATAAGATTCCTTGTTCCATCGTTCTACAATACATCAAGAGTCATTCAATTGGGCTGCTTTTTGGCAAATAACGTCCCCTTTAAGAATATTTGGGAATGTGTTTAGCCTAGCTTAGCACAAAGACTGGAAACAGGGGGAAACTGCTAGCATGGAAGCAAATAGGTTTATTGAAATGTAGACACAGAAATCTCCTCAGCAGTAGAACGATGTATGTCTACGTGTGTGAGTGTGTATATGAGAGAGAGAGAGAGTGTGTGTGTGAGAGAGTGTGTGTGAATGAAGCTTACAGTTCATATTTAAGAGCAGTAACTTTAGTGTTTTCTCTTTAACAAATATGCAAGGAAACTCCCCGTATAGAAATAATCCCTAATATGTAAAGCTGTAATGTTTTTGTTGTTTTGTTGTTGTTTTGGTGTTGTTTTGTTCAGCATCTGGTTCGGTGCCTTATGAGTTTACCAAGGAAATGAAAACTCTGTATACAGTCTGTCCAATGTAACGATTTTTAAGTAAATAACCTTATTTTAGTACACAACATTATTTCTGTTTTTGTATTGTTTTTACTCTTTGAGGCTCATTTTCTACCAGGACATCAACAAGGATGAACAGTCGAGCCAAGAATGGATTTCAAGAAGTGCGAAACGTAACAAAACGTGTTCTTGGTAATAGAAAAACCTAACTTGAAAGGAAATTGACACAGAAAAATACATTTTTACTTGTAACGTAGCTTAAAATCCTGATATTAAGACATTTTATATAATTAAAAGTATTCTTCACTTTTGTTTGGTTTTATAGATTAAACCTTTGTGTTTTTTTAATCATAGAAGCTCATTTCTGCTGAGAAAGAAGATAACAAGTTGGTAAACATTGAATAATAAGACACAATCATCACTTTTCAGAAGCCATTTTGTGATAGAAACATTTAAACATTTTTTGATTGGATTATTTTATGTTCTTTTTTAACGATAAAATTGTTACTCTTAGAAACAAAATTAATGACCTCTTGCCTTTGACCAGTATAGTGTTATCAACAGCTCCCGGAAACATAAGTTCTAATATTACACTAGATAGTAAACTAGAATGCTTTTCAGCCATAAACCTTGAACAATTGAATTCAATGAGTCTTTCTTCTAAACCATCAACGTGTATGTTAGACCCAATTCCAACTAAGCTGTTGAAGGAAGTTTTTCCATTAATTAGCACTTATTTATTAAATATTATGAATATGTCTTTATTATCAGGCTATGTTCCACAATCATTCAAAGTAGCAGTGATAAAACCGCTTCTTAAAAAGCACAACCTCGATCCAGAGGTTTTAGCCAACTATAGACCTATTTCCAATCTTCCGTTCCTCTCAAAAATTCTTGAGAAAGCGGTCGCAAAACAGCTGTGTGATTACTTAAAAAACAATGATTTATTTGAAGCTTTTCAGTCTGGCTTTAGAACACATCATAGCACAGAGACAGCTCTGGTTAAAGTCACAAATGACATTCTAATAGCCTCAGACAAGGGACGTGTCTCTATTCTTGTTTTGCTCGATCTCAGTGCTGCATTTGATACTATCGACCATGATATCCTATTGCAAAGATTAGAGCACTTAGTTAGCATACAGGGAACTGCTTTAGACTGGTTTAGGTCCTATCTATCTGAACGCTCTCAGTTTGTGTGTCAACGATGAATCTTCCATGCAAACCAAAGTTAGCCATGGAGTGCCACAGGGCTCAGTGCTCGGACCTATTTTGTTCACATTATATATGCTTCCGTTAGGCAATATTATAAGGAATCATTCTGTAAACTTTCATTGTTATGCGGATGATACTCAACTATATTTATCCATCAAGCCTGATGAAATTAATCATCTAAATAAAATTCAAGACTGCCTTAAGGACTTAAAAACGTGGATGACCTTAAACTTTTTGATGTTAAACACGACCAAAACTGAAGTTATTGTACTCGGCCCAAAGACTACGAAACAAATTATCTAAGGATATACTAACTATGGATGGCATTAATTTGGCCTCCAGTGAGACTGTAAGGAATCTTGGTGTTATATTTGATCAGGATTTATCCTTTAACGCCCACATAAAATCAATTTCAAGGACCGCCTACTTCCATCTACGTAACATTGCAAAAATCAGGCATATCTTGCCTCAAAACGATGCAGAGAAACTAGTCCATGCATTTGTTACTTCAAGGCTGGATTATTGTAACTCCTTATCAGGGTGTACCAAGAAGTCAGTCAAGTCGCTTCAGCTGATTCAAAATGCTGCAGCTCGTGTACTAACCAGAGTTAGGAAAAGGGACCACATTACTCCTGTTCTGGTTGCCTTACACTGGCTCCCTATAGAACACAGGATATAATTTAAAATTCTTCTTCTCGCCTACAAAGCCCTTAATGGGCAGGCGCCATCTTACCTTAAAGAACTCATTACTGTCCTACTACGGCAGGGGTCTGCAACCTTTTTGACCAAAAGAGCTATTTTGGCCCCTTTTCCAGCTATTTGTTTTGTCTGGAGCCGCAACACATATTTGATTGCTTATAAAGTTGTGTTTATTGTTTTTTTGCATTTATTATTTATAAAACTGTTAACCTTTAATAAGAAACAAAAAACTTTCATAAGGAGAATTAAAAAAAAATACACAGGCCTACTTTAAAATAAATCAGACACAGCACTTGGGGAGTCCTCTGCACATTTGAAGGGAATAAAATACAATTAAAAATTGACCCACCCTAAAAAGAGTAAACTGAATTATGACTGCAGATCGTCAGCTGTCTTCCTCTTCCGGTTTTTCCCTCGATACGTAAAGGCTGCAGCACCTTGACAACTTCTCTCTAGGCCTACATATCAAATATATCGGTGAGCATAGCCGTGGGAACATGTTTCAAATGGGGGGTGCTGTGGGGATGACACCAGGGCTGGTTCTGACCAATGTGCTGCCCTATAGGCAAGATTTTAGCTGGCAATGAAAAACCGCTACAAAAGACCAATACACTACAAAAAGAGAAACATATTGACATGGTGGACAGCTTATATAAAAAGGCTTCAAATGTATTTAGTATTAATTTATAACATGTTTTAATTGGGGGGTGGACTTCACATCCTCTAGGCGGGTCTGGGGGTGTCCCCCAGGAAGATTTTTTTTACATTTTATAGTAAAATGCTTCAATCTGGTGCAATTTGAGTGCCCAATTACTAGAGACTGATCTAGGGGGTACAACTCTAAACACCCATATGAAAAAGATCGGTTTGCATTTTATTAATCAAATAAGTATGTGAACATTTCCAGTAACCTACCATAGCCAATAACAAATAAATGTAACTTATTTTATTTTTGTTGTTCATTCATATCTTATTTTACCAGTTAACATTTATTTATTTATGCATATTTTTAAATCTCTCCAGTTGTAAACGATATTTTTGGTTTACTGTCCTATAGTATACATTGGAATGATTTCAAACCTGTTTTTATTTATCCTAATAATTATAAAGGTGTGCCTTAGAAATATTTGTTTACATAAATTGTGATCAAAACGTTTGAGACTCACTGAGATAACTTAGACTAAAGTGAACTATCTAAAACCCTCAAGTCCTTTACCTCACTGAGCCTCTCAGTCTAACAGGACAGAACTCTCCCTCCACATTATTGTAGAAACAGCTTCTTACATCCGTTAGCGCAGCAGAATCTAACAACAATCCCCGCCGGTACCGGTGCACCCCGTCTCTCTATCTCTCTCACTTTGGCTGTGAGCTGCGGGCGCCTGATAAGCCAACATCCCCCACTTTCATCACTACAGCGCCCATCGTACAGGGCAAATGGAAAATGTAACCGGGGTGAAAAGGGTGTTATGTTTACTTAATTATGAATGTTGTGTTGTCGTTTTTTTTGTATTATATCTTGTGGAACTGCAGATCCCCTGTCCTCCACTAGGGGGTGCTGCAGCACCCTCAGCACCCCTAATTCCCACGGCCCTGTCGGTGAGCCAGCATCGTTTTGCTGTGAAAGCATATAACTCTAACCAGCGCCATAGATGAGAGTAACACCTATGTCACTTCCGGGCAAAAATGACGGCCCCGCCCACTTTTGGGGGAAAACAACGCTGTCATTGGAATGGCTAGAGAGATTATTCTATTATTCTTTGATATTATTCTATTATGAGATTATTATTATTCTATTATATGGCTCTGATTCTAACCACGCAGAATTAAATCCTGTGTTCCTCCGATACTTTTCTTTTATTTGATGTATCCATAGTTCGCTCATCGAGCCGGGGGTCAGGTTATTGGCCTGCAAGAAAATGCGCTGGTGCGGGACCGTAGAGGGATGTTACGGACATAGTTTAGTTGACCTAATTAAAACCGTTTTTTATTTATGTGTCACAGTATCACCTCAAAATACGAAACATTTTCAACCGTGCAACAACATTTAAATAGTCCTACAAATACTTGTATTTAATTTCCTTCTTATTTTTTGTCTAAACTCAAGAGAGCCAGAGCAGAGGGCTAGCCGCATGCGGCTCGCCTCGGGTTGCCGACCCCTGTAGGGCATTGCGTTCCAAGAATGCAGGGTTGTTGGTTGTTCCTAGAGTCTCTCAAAGTACAATGGGAGCCAGAGCCTTTTCTTATCAAGCTCCACTTTTGAGGAATCAGCTTCCAGTTTGTGTTCGGGCGGCAGACACCCTATCCGTTTTTAAGAGTGCGCTTAAGACCTTCCTTTTTGAAAAAATAATATAATAAGTAGACACGTTGTGCCCTTTATATACAGTCTATGGTTGTGCCTCTTCACCTATACGTTTTAGTTCTTACTCTTTTTCCTTACTGATGGTATGTAATTTGGTTGTGTGTGTAGACGGTGGAAGCAGGGAGAGGCATATGTGCCTTGATCTCCTTCTTTTTGGTGTAGACCTACGCCGGGATGTCGTGGCTGATCCTGTTGCTGCGGTCCTGTGTCCTGGATCCTCTATCCTGAGTACTGGATCTGTGTCCTGGACTTCGAGTCGTGGCTGAACCTGTCTCTGTGGTCCTGCCTGACTCATCAAACTACTTCCCTGATGGCTCCCACAGGATTGTTGACATCCTCGTGGATTCATCTTCTTATTACAGACACATGCATTTCCAAACATTTGGTCTACCTACGCTGTAAAAACTATTATCTCTTCGATTTACACACGGCATCTATTGCACGTCTGTCCGTCCTGGGAGAGGGATCCCTCCTCTGTTGCTCTCCCTGAGGTTTCTCCCATTTTCCCTTTAAACTGTGGGTTTTCTCTGGAAGTGTTTCCTTGTACGATGTGAGGGTCTAAGGACAGAGGGTGTCGTATTGTCATACTGATATTCTGTACAAACTGTGAAGACCGAGACAAATGTAACATTTGTGATATTGGGCTATATAAATAAACATTGATGTTTAATGTTAGTCAAAACAATATATAATTTTGCTCAAAAGCCCAAACAAGCTTGGGTTTGATACCTTTACAAATATATATATCAAAATGATACATTAAGTGTAAATAAATTCAATATTTCCATTCACAGTATATA